AGGTAGATGACATCCATAGCCTTTCCTTCATCAAACAAGTGGGTCACACTTGCCCAGGTCCCCTCTGCTGGCTGTAAGGTCAGGGGGAAAATTTGACAGAGAAGGTGAACACATGATGCCAGAGCATCAAGGATACATATAAATCAATAATGTACTCTGGGAATGCCACTGGCACGTGGCACTTGAAAATGGTGTGTCCAGACGTACAGAATGGCAGTTCTGCTACCAAACATAGCAGGGAGACCTAGGGCACCAAGCTCAGATCTGGTTCCTGCAAGCTATGTCCCTTTGTACATGTGGTGTGAGGCAAAGTTGTCAGGCTTCCGCCTCTCAGACCTCTTACCTCCAAGACAGTTCTTTCAGCTCTCCTCATCCCACCATGTTGTGTGCTGTGACTTCTTAGTTTCTGCTAGAGGAAGATGCTTGCTGTTCACATTCACAAAGGTGAAATTTCTGGTGGCAGTCATTTGACATGCCACCAGCCCAGATTTTGTTAATCATCTTATTTGCATTTAGTAGGAAAAACTGCTATTCTTTTCATACTACACCTAATGTAATATCTAGGGGGAAATTATGTGTTATACTTTGGACTGAACTAATGCCCCACCACAGCTGAAGGATGAGCTCCTACCTCAGATGCACCTGATCTCCTGGTGAGCTAATTAATCTCAATAACAGAAAAAATAACCCTAAGCAGGTAATAAACACACAAAAATAGTGCTTGACGAGCACAGTCGAGGAGCCAAGACGTCCTAGCAAGTATAAGATGAGGTACAACGGGGGCAGGACCTTTTGAAGGGGAGCTGTTATAGATCCCCTCAGCCCAAATCATGTAGTGTGACCTTTACATCACTTCTCACTTGCTGTGCCTCATGGTGTGCCAGCAAATCTTGGCTGAAGTGGGGAGGTGTTATCCCCATCCTCCTCCTGACAGGGAAGATTGAGCTTTGCTTGAACTGGCGGAACGATCCCTTCAGTCTAGTCAGTGGCAGAGACTTGAAGCCAGATCAGTCTGTGTGTCACTGGCTCTGGGGCTACTTAGTGGACAACTAGCTGCCACCATGTGTCACCAGGTTCAAACCCAGCCAGAAGTCACCACTATCCTTGCATGTAGGAGCTCAGACAGCTGTCAGAACAAATTACCCTTCCTTTGTTACCTGCCCTGATAGTATGTTTATGGGCCTTCTTGGAAGTCTGTCATGAAGTCCACAGAGTTGAATTATCACATTTCCCTTCCCACTTGCCTATGGGAAAGAAGTGATTGGGCCTTGCAAGTGAAGGTGGCAGAGATAGTTAACAGCATGAAAACCCTCCAGAGAAAATAATGTGCATTCCTCAAGTGTTAATGTCACACAGCCATGAGGCAACCCGCGCTGATTAGCAGGTCAACTTGCTTGGACAAGCTTCTGTGGCCAGCTGACTATATCAGAAAGTTCTTCTATTGACTTTCCAGAAAATTGTCCCAGAATGAACTACCAGCTGCATTTGCAGCCCATCACAGGTGAGCAAACCAGACTATCTGACTGTGAGAAGCATTCAGGTTAGAAGCATTCTTGCAGTTTTCTTCTGTTTCTTCCTTTGCATTTAAAACACACCTTGTTTTGCATTTTGTTTGACAGTATCAATTATCACAAGGTAAAGCCTTTGCTCACCTCTGTCTGACAGAGTGTCCTTTCATGGTGAAGACTTTCCTGTGTTTGGAGACTCACCTGCTGCTGGGTGTACTGAGTCTAGCTGCAATGGAGTTAACCTTCTGGCCAGCAGCCTGTGGCCCAGCTGTGCTTTGGATTTGTGACTAAAGCGGCTGGAAATACACCAGTATAGTGGCTATTGCCAAACTGTGCCTGCACAGGGTCAAGGTTTTCTTTCTCGTTCTGAAGGTGGGCAAGAAGCTGGGAGGGGACACATCTGGGAGAGCTGACCCCAATTGACTAAAGGGATATCCTGTTCATATGGAGGTCAGCAACAAAAGCTTAGGGAAAAGGAGGAGGAAGGGGAGATGTTTGCAGTAACAAGTAACCATCATACATGCTGAGGCTCTGCTTTCCAGTAAGTGGCTAAGTACCCACCTGCCTATGGGAAGCAGTGAATTAATTCCTTGCTTTGCTTTATTTCCATACATAGCTTTTTCTTTTCCTGTTAAACTGACTTTAGCTCGGTCCACAAGCTTGCCAGCTGCAGTTAAGCCAGCACACTCAGCTAAACTGGGTGTGGCTACATGAATCAGACTCGATGGATAACACACCTTTTCTCTTTTTTAGGAAAATGTATCGGGTATGCCTTTAGATAAGCACTAAATCGAACATGTAACACAAACTCTAAACACTACAGCAAGGAGCCACTCAGAGATGGCTCTGAGTTAGAGATGGGACAAATCAACAATTAAAAACATTTAACTCCTCAGCACTGTACCATGTGGTCATCGATTTTAATTGCTTTCTCTAAGGTCCCTTCCAACTTAGGCCATTCTCTGATTCTTTTAGCTCCTTTAAATAAAGAGTCTAAGATGTGTCTTTAACTTGTCTTTATTCTTAGGTCAAACAATACCATCACTGAATTGAAGAATGAGGTTACTGGTTGAAATACAAGTGCGGTGTGAGACAATTATGGAAGATAACACTTTGCAAATAAATTAATACAGAATAATTGTCTTTGCATAGTTCAGAAGTGAAAAGTAGGAGGCAGCAGTGCGCACATGCTGTGAACTGACACACACTACCACGACAATCCGAGTTCCTAGATGAACTCTTGCAGCTGCAAATAAAACAAACCAAAAATACTCCAAACCTTAAAGAGCACTATTAAAAACCAGGCAGAAAGGGAACTAATGAGCATTTTTTCTTTTTTTTCTTTCATTTTTTTTTTTAAACAGACCATGCTGCAGAAAGAGGGTTTTCTCTACAGACAGAGATACTTTTAGATAATCTGCCTTGGCATCCCGTAGCCTGTCATACCCGACTGTGATGCTCCTTTGTTGCTGCCCATCTGAAGGCCTATTACGTTCTGTCCCTGACGAAGCTGCTCTTCTGAAAATCCTCGTCGATTCTGCTGTGCTTTCCTGTCCAGATACACAGACAAAAAACCAACATATACACATACCATCATTCTGTGTATGTCCAGAGGATCATGAAAAGCAATCTGAAATTAGCTTATGTCAACAAACACGTCCCATGTAATGCAGTCTTTTATTTGCACCATCCCATGGGCAGGGCTGTACTGGCTGGGCCAATTGTTTTCCTGCAGTTAGAAGTAATGCTCAAGTCAAACCTACAATGCTTCAGACTTTCACTGTACCACTTATTCCAGAACCCCAAGGGACTTTCCCAACAGCTCTGATAGGTAAAATATTTATGTAGTGCTGTTAATTTGAGTTAACTCCTATAGCTCTTAACAGCTGTAGCCCATGGGATCTGATCAATGAGACACTTACCTGTGCTGTGATACGAGTTGATGCCTATCTAGAGCAATGGTACTAACTGATATAATTTAAATCAGCAGAGTAAATAGAAGCTGAATGTATGTGCAGAAACAACAGGACGGAGAAGTAACTTGCTCATTTTCACAGAGCAGAGGATGGCTGACTGCAGGACATGACAATTGCTTTGTTGCCATTTCCTGATCTCTCTCCTCTAAGCAATAGACTTTGCTCTTTGCACCTGTATCTTAACAGTGCAACAGCCCTTTATCTTCTGTCAAAACACACTGACCGCTTTTGCTTGTTTGGTGTCCCTCATTTCAAAAGCCCTTTGGATCAATGAACCTTTGTTGGAGTTTAAAAGGAGCCTCTTTGCCACGAAAATAACACTGAGGGCTAAAGCACCCAGTTAGGGAACAGAACAAAAGTTTGTATTCTCCTGCCTTGTGAGGGTTCATCTTGGATTAATCTTTCAATTATGTAAGGTGAGGAAAAAAAATAATTTACTAGGGAGAAAGATCAGTCTGTTGATACCAAATAAGCCATATTAATCCACAAATCCACAGAGCCCCAGACTGATGGAGGCTTTCCATCAACCAGGCTCTACTCCCACCCAGGTACCATCTTTTCTTTGCTGTGTCTGTTTGTCCTGGGATCAGGTTACTCTGAACTAAGGCATCACATTACAGTTCCCCTTTTCTCCCCACCCCACTACTATATGAGAATGCTAGCTTAGGTGCCTGCCGTGATTGAAAACCATCAACATGAGCCTCTCTGTGAAGGTCTGGTCATGCACTGTGTTGAGCACCCTGGCTCGAGTCCAGAAAAGCACTTAAACTCTTCTTTAGGCTCAGGGTGTTCAGGACATTGCAGGAGAAGAACTCATGTTGGCATGAAAACCTAGCAGTGCAGAAAGGTGAGAAAGACCCACAGGAAACCAGTACCGACCTGTTATTTTTCACAATGGGTCTCCAGGTTAATGTATAGACTAGCAAAAGGGCTTGTAGGAGCCCACCAGAGGCTCTCAGATCCCACAGCCCTTGCCAGAAAGCATGCGGTTTTGGGGGAGGCACGCAGAACTGCATGTGCCTCTGAAAGCAACCCCCTCTCATTGCTGCTTAATTTCTTTTCCAGAACACTGACAAGGGCACTGAACTACTGCCAAGATCTCCACGAGAGGATGTTTTTAGAACTACTCCTATTACCTAAATGAATCTCAGGTTCACTGTGTCTGCCTTTATTTTAATTAAAATCCCAGGAATATGTTCTATTCTTTTTTTTTTTTCTCTCTTTCCTCCTAGAATCTTCAGTTGTGTTGTGGAGTAATTCCACAGAAAATTGAAAAGTAACTCTGAACAGGAAGAAAAATGAGAACTGCAAAGAAGAAATAAAAATAGAGACTAAAGGGAAGCCCGAATATTCTAATAAAAGTTGATTAAATATAGAGCTTGGATCATATAGTGTTATTTTTACTATCATAAGCACCGGATTTAGCATATGAGGGTCTTAACATGTACTTGCGTTCTGCTTTTAGGTTGGTGGAAACAGCTTTACCTGAGAGTGTAGAAAAAGACGTGAGGACAGGTCTATCACCCTCAGTGTCTCACAGAACCAAATTCTGTTTGGCCTGTCTGTCACCAACCAGCACCACCCTTACCTTACCAGATCTGTTAACTTTTTGTGCCAACTTTGCACCAGTGCTTGTGGTTGCCAGATCACAAGACAGCGAACAGCCATGGATCCATGAACCTTGCTAGGTCATGCAAGGGAGGAGAAATTAGGCCTGGAGGGACTGGGTATGTGAGACAGGCAATGGAAAATTAAATGGCTTAACTCAAGTGTGGGGGTATCATAATCACCATAGATCCCTACATGGATACTCTCATTCCATTTAATCTTGACTTCTTTCAATTGAATTTAAGGCGATTAACAATCAGCCTGAAAGCCCTGACTCATGACTAACACTGGGCAGCAATGAGTGGGCTTGATCTGCCTAAGGCATGGGTAAGCTACTCAGAAAACAGACCCTGATCTGCAATATGTTATTTCCTTATAGAAATAACACCAGTTTTCCTTAAAGAAGTGGCTATTAAAGGATATTTCAGGGGCTGCAACAGATATGCATTGGCTAATCAAGCAGTACGGGTAGGGCAGACAGCTAGGGGACAAGGAAGGTGACCACATCTTCATTTATGCCAATAAAAACTGTTCCCACCCACAATTAAAAGAGTCCAGATGAAAATTAATTTTTCCATGCAGTACTCTGTTTTAGTTACATAAAACAAATAAGCCCGTCTGGGTCATAGTGATTTCATGTCTGGTTTATATCAAAGCATGTAACTAGATTTGAACCTGATTTTAAATCCAGTTATATTCCCATGAATACAAATCTATTTGTTCACTGTATTAAGCTAATTTAAACTCATTTCCTGTAAAGAATGCATAGGAGTTTGCACTCATTCACCTAAAATTCAAGTCTACCTCAGCCTCAGCTAAACCAGTTCAAGGTTTAAGGCAAACCAAGTGAAGTTTGCTTTACTTTTGCTGAGCCTCACCTAGACAGCAGAAAATTCAAAGAAACCAAAGACAGGCAGCCAGCACTGTTTTCTACTAGCGTGTCTCAGATATTTTGGTGGAAGAAATACTCTTGGATGGCAGCATCTCATGTCGATAACCTGCCTGTGGGGCAGAAGGCTAATTGAGGAAGGATTTCCTTTTCTTCTCATCCCTGCTTCTCAGCCTCCCTGGCTAAAACAAATGAAATTTTAGAGCAAATAAACAGCTTTGCCAAGACAGAGAATTCTTCACAGGTAAGTAGCACCCTCCAAGAAAATAGGTGATTAGGAAATGAAATAATTTTTGGTTTGATAAACAATAGAAAAAGGCTTCATGCCTTCTCTTTGCTTAGTAAAGAAATCGCTATATTGGGGCTTGCAGACGTCCATGACAGCCTTGCCTTCATTAGTCTTTTTGTATCTGATGTAAGGCAAAAGTACACTTTTTCTGTCAGCTACTCTTAGGACATGCGTATCTGCATGGCTGCTGCCATTTTTATTCTCTTTCCTCATGAATGGATACAGAAGACTACTTGAAACTGCTGTATAGATGAATGTCATCAAAACGGGTGGCTGAATTTACTAAGTATCATTGCTCTCCTTCTAGGAAATAAGAGTCAGGGATAACATCAGCAGATAAAAAAAATCATATTTCTTCTTCAGTGATCAGTGTAGGCCCCTCAGAGCAAGAAGGATAGGCTACGAAGGTAGCTGGAGCAGGATGATACACTTCAAAGCCAGCCATCCTCTCGGGTCCCCACACGTGCACACACACGTCCACACCAACACAGCCTCCAACAACCTCTTTCAAAAGAGGCACCTCCAGAAGGAAACCAGAGCTGGAGCCACAGGCAACGCCCTCCTTTAGTCCTGGCACCAGTAGTGCTGTCCCAGCTCCTGGGCAGGAGAGGACACGTAAGGGTGGCGTGATGGGGCTACATAAGAAAAGGCTGCACTACAGAGCTCCCACAGGGCTCCTCTGCAGCAGCCCTGGTGTAACTTTAGGCTGACGACATACGGTAAGACGTGGGCCTAGCAGTGATGCTGATAAAGTTGGGAACCAGTGAAGGGTGGAAAAAGTTGCTGCCTGGTTGGGTCTTTGCTTCCCTCCTCTGGAGTCCAAAGAGAAAAATCTCTCCATTACAAGGAAACTTTGAAAAGATTCTTCTCTTCCTTTCTCAGTAAATTTTCTTTAAGCCTAAAAGAAGATGATATTAACAGCTTCCTGTGGCAAGACTGCTGTGAGCAGCTGTCCTTTGGACTTTACCTGTGAAACCAGGATGGATCTCCTTTGTAGCAGCCGTCATCCTTGGTGACTGCCAAACTGCCTAGAGCCATTAAGGTTCTCTGCACTGCTGCCATGTCCTTCCCTAGAAAGCCAGACAGTGAAATTAATGTAAGAAAGCTTTGCACAACAAATAGCTTGGCACACTGATAGACAGTCTTATCCAATATATTAACTAATCCCCTCAGCTCCCTTGAAAAAGTGCATTAATGGCATGATAAATGGTATTTTATCATTGCTGAAATGGAGGTGCTAACATGCAAGAACTTAGCAAAAGTCATCAAAGGGACAGCATTAAAGCTTATCAATTTAGACATTTCCAGGTTTACAGGCTTCGGGCTACTTTAATCCCTTCCACCATACTACTTTAATCCTTTTGGCAATTTTTTTTCCCTAAGAATAGATCACTTTGGTGTACAAACTACAGTAATATTCTCAGTAAAACATGGCTGAAGGAGAACAGGGTATAAATAACAGTTGCTGTGCCTCTGTTTCTTCACCTGTAAACAGGTAAGACTGATCCCACTATTTAAGCCCTGGAAATTTCAGACAGTCCCTGTGTTAAGAGTACTCACAGTAGTCCTGGAGAGTTTCTGTCCAGATAACTCGTATCAGTCCTTTCCAAATCCTTCCTACTGGCCTCCTTTCTCCGGCTGCCAAAAATCGATGCTCTGCAGTTTCATGCCTTCATTTCCTGCCAGCCAGTCCACTATTCTTTCACTTCCTCCCTACTCCACCTCACTTCATTCCTCATTTCACATAGCCAAGGCTCTTTGCATCTTTAGCCAAGTAAAAATTAGGTATCTGGTCATCACTAGTTCTTTAGGTTTCCTCCACAAACAACAATGAGAGACAAGTTTCTCGGGATGATTTATTCCATCTCTCTTGGGAAAGGTGAAATAGCCTATCACTTGTTTCAAGGTGTACCCTCCACCTAGCTGAAAATTCACCAGGTTTCCAAGAGTGCACCTTCCACCTTTGACATATAAGGCTAATTTTTAATAGAGGTTTGCGTTTAATAAAAATGTCTCTTCTTCCAAGGATAAATAAATAAATTTTCCTTTTTGGTTAACATCTTTTGCTGATTCCTCCACTGGGTTAAAAAAAATTACAGTCCAATAAAAAAACCCAAATAAGTGAGACACAAAATTTTTTTTTAAAAAATAAGTGTTCCTTTTTTCTTGATTCTTTTCCCGCATTTTGCATAAAAATGGCAGGGAACATAAAGATATCAGTCGGACAGCTTCTAACTCATCACCCAATCCAGATGCTAACTTTTGAAAAACTTTCTAGCAAAAATGAGTTGCAGTATGTATTTCCAGTTGTGTGAGGGAGAAAGTTGTTGGAAATTTGCCTTTTACCTCTCCCTTCTTCTGAAATCCTTCCATAAGTGTTTCTACGATTCCCTTCCCTTTCTTTCTGTTGCAGTTCCTCCTCTTTCCTAAAACAATTTATCTAGCTAACAGATCTGATTTTGACTGTAAGCTCTTTACACGGGAGAATAAGTAATTTATAAAAACATGAGATACTAGAAACATGATGACGATAACAAATTTCAGAAGTACCTCCAGTGGACAAATATTAATGAAAATCACTGTAGACGAAGTGGAGTGTAGAGGGAAGCGAGTGTCACACATTCTGTATTTATGCATCACCCAGATGCAGTTCGGAGTTTTGGGTCATTACAAATTTATTGTAACACACTGGCTGAGGTGAGGGAAGACACCCTAAAGCTGAAAACACCTAGCGGCTTCCAGCTGTGGCTGTCATACAGCCTATTAAAGTTTAGAGCAAGCCCACTGGCAGGCGAACATTTGCTCAGAAAAGAAATTGTCAGCCATCCAGAATCCTCGTTTTACTGTATTTGTTAATGTAAACTGCATCAGACGGGGTCCTTGCTCAAGAGGGCAGCTGAAGAGCCAGCATCCCACACGTGCATGCACACAGGGGCGCGCAGAAAAGAAACACCAAGAGCTCCCCAGAGCAGCAGATGTACCATATGCTGTGACAGATGCCACATACAACGTCCTTGGGATGCCTCCCAGATAACAAGGAGTGCGGTGACTGATTAGGTTGAAGAGGGATGTGAAGAAGGATTTAAAAGTGAATGAGTTGAATAATAATGGCAAGAGCAGGGGGGAAAAAAAAAAAAGAAAAGAAGGGCAGCAAAATATGACGATCGGTTTCATGGAGCCATCTGGCAGCCCCCCCACTCTCTGTGCTCAGCTCTGCTTTATTTGTCAGTGGCGAGTGGGAGACGCTGCAGGGAAAAAACAGACTGAGTGGGAGCCCAGCGCCACGTGACAAAACAAAGCCACGTCCATGTCCCTGCTTTGCAGAGCCTGCTTGCTGCATGTGAGTGGTGCTGCTGGTAAGGGAAGACCCCAAATCCGCGTGGCCTTGTGACATTTGCCCTCTTCCAGCACAGGATACAAGGGGCTCAGCGGTCAGCGTAAAAAAGGGCTGTGAAATATTTTAAGTCTCCACACAGAGAAAGTCACCTAGCACCGCAGCAGCCTGACAGAAGGGATCATACGCATTCTCTGAAGCCAGGCTTGACTCTGGCACTGCAGAAAATTGCCGTCAGTGCCTTCCCTCGGTTCACTGGCAGCCACGCGGGCTGCCTGCCCGGCCCCCAGCCTCAGCCTCCCTGAATCACGCTGCAGGCACCCACGCCAACAGCATTTCTTCTGCATCTTCAGTGTCCTCTGCAGAGGGCTTTTAATAGCACAGCCTGGTAGAGGACCTTGGTGCTGCCTGTACAAGAAGGAAGGGGCCTCTGCTCATTTCTTATGCTGACACTTTTCTCTTTGAGGGGAAAGCTGGTCAGAAGGCTGCCTTCTCCAGATCCAGGAAAGGTACCAACCCAAAGATGGAAAACTGCTCTGCATAGTATTGCTGAAATGTTTTTTTTTTAAAAGCTGAACAAGTACTCAGAGGTACAACTGCCTCCCACCTGCCTGGAAGTATACTGGGGAAGTATCTGTGAAAAAGAGTGAACGTAATATCTCGTGCATGGATTAGGGAAAGCTTCTTAGCACAGTATGTTTAAGTAAGAAAGGAACAAAAGGTGATACTGCTCCTGGACTAAAAAGTCGCAGAGATCAATTAAAATGCACCAGATGGACTGAATGAGTTTGAAACAGACAAGAGCAGACTTCATACTAAAACATTTCCACTAACTGTTACTAAGAATTTCAAAGCAAAAGCTCTCGGAAGACAATTAGTGTCAGAGAAAAGCTGTTTTTCAGTCACACATACTTTTTTTTCTCTGTAAACATACATTGACATCTCCTCTCTTTCTAAAGAGGTTATGGCCTGAAGTGTAGCAGTGCTGTAATTATGAAATAGTGAAAAATACACTGTCCTTTCTCTACAACTAATGCATCCAGGTCAGGGGATTCAGCCCTGAAGCAGCACAGATGCTAGAGGTCAAAGTTATGGCTAGACACAAAAAGCTTGCAGTGACTCACTGCTGTAGAGAAAGACTGTTTCATCTCAGCACTGAAATGAGCAGCAGGAGGGGTGGAAAGGAAGTAGGAAAGTGAGGAGACACAGATTAGCTTTGAGAAGTTCTAAAATAAGAGTGGGGAAAAGTATTGTATGGCTCTTTCCTAGGCTGCGAGTTTTGTTTCAACTTCCTGCCCTCTGGAAACCACTGGCCTTTTTCCTTATATCTGTTGAGAAAAGGTGATGAGTGAAAGAAAGAGAAATAAGGAGAGAGCCACCATCATTCAGAGCTTTTTTTCTTCAGAGCAAATCCTTTTCATCATAAGGATCAATGTACCATACTTTCATTTGCATGGTGTGAAACTATTATGAGATGCAAAAGACTGCAAAGAACAGCATCTGAAATGTGCTATTACCGACCCTTACAAGATAGAGCTTCTCTTTCAACAGCCTGCTAGGCTGGGGGGTAGGGAAGAGTGTTACTGCAAGGAAATGAAAATCCCTTCCTTCATTTAAGACACTTAAAGGTAGATTGGATGAAACACTAGAGGGTGAAGTAAAAGAAACAATCCTGCCTTTGTGCCCAAAAGTAGGATTTGTCAAGTAAATCTGTCATCCCGAGAACATTACAGATCCCAGTAACTCCAGCTGTCAACACATCCTTCCTTTCTACCCTTTCCACAGAGAGCTCCCTAGTCCTTGATTCCTCAAGCTGTCCTCAGGACAGGTCTCTTCCACATAGCCCAAAAATCTGTGAAAACAGACTCCACTTTTTGTGCTCCAGGTGTGCTCCTACACAAACCATGCTGACCAGCTTTCTCAAGGGTTTTCCTCTTTCCACTGTTTTATCCTCATGGAAGATTTTTGACCCCTTCATACCTGCCTTTCACTACTCCACAGCTGTCCTTGCTCTGAGCTGTCACACAAAATGTTTTGCATCACCTTGCCCAGAGAGATGTAGGGTATACAGTGTGTTTGGTTAGAGCACCAAGGAGGGATGAATCACCATGGAAGAGGGCAAAAACAGCCACACAAATGAAAAAATGACTCAGCTTTTCAAGAACTAGAATGTGCAGATTCCATTTTAAGCGTGGGACGGAGAGAGTCTTCACCTGGATTACAGCACACCCACTGGGGCAATCTGAAATTTTTTCCTGTTACCATAGTGACCTCTCTTAAAAGACTGTATTTCTCTTGAGAGATGCTCAGCTAACATGTTAGCAGTGAGTTTTGCTTTTCACTATCATAAATGAGCCCTCATAAACTTCACTGAGACATATATGCTCCTGGGAATGCATTTTATAGCTCTAATTTAAGCTTTGCTTATAATTTGAAAACTGCAATAAAATCTCGACATCAGAAAATAAGGGGTTTCCGTATTTGCTATTAGAAGCTATTTACTTGGAAATAATTAGCATAGAGAACATTTACTTTATTAGGTCTGTGGATTTCTATCAAAATGATGAGCTTTTGGATAACACATGAGCTTGGAAAGGCTCCATTATGCCCTCAGGGTAATATAAATCCCTCAGAGGAGATAATGCACCCCCGGAAGAACATGGTAATGAGGTAAGGCAAAGAGAAACAAAAGATAATTACATTAGAGAATATGCCCTAGACAAAACGCACCATTTACAAAACATCAAAGCAAAGTAAAATGAAGACAGCAAGCTGACTTCCAGTTTATTATTTTTACCTTCCCATAAATCCACTGTCTGGAAAATATCTGTTGTTCTTACTCCGTAGATTTCAGCAGCTTTTAAGAACTGAGAAATTTGTTCCATCTGCTTGAAAGCCATTTTTGATTCAGAGATCTTTGCAATGGGTTCATTTCCCTTTGGATGTAAACTGTTTATTAACTTGCATAACAGCTGAGTGATAAACACAGAAACAAAATTAGAAAGTAGTCACTGAACTAGAAGGCAATTTCTGCACATGAAATGATGCTGCAAAATGGTTTTGACCTGGCCAGTTTCTGTCAGGGACATAATTTCTTCAAATAAAAAACAAAGAAATGAATTGATAATAAGCAAAGTATATTAGAAATGCATTAAAGCTTTCAATAACTGATGGAAATAGCCTCACCATACAAATCCTAATCTGCTAGAAACAACAAAGCAATCACTAGTAAAGATTATATAACAAGACAGAGAAGGAACCACATGCCTGAGCCAAAAAAAAAAAAGCAATGTCAATTGAAATATTGTTAAAGTCACTTTGGCAGAGATTCAATGATTAGCATATCCTTACAGCCCGCTGCAAACATCAGCATCTGCCTGTTGTTCAATAAACCAATGGAATACAGTGTTTTGGCTACAGAGTTACTCCCAGAAAGAAAACAGTTATGACATAATACAATCCTTCAAATTTTTGCTCTCTCTTCGCCTTTCTCTGTCAACACTATTTAACACTGAATATTTCTTAAAGAGAAAATCTATACATCTGATGTTAAAACAGATCTCATTTAACTGTATGAGAAAAGGTGCTGAAGGAATGAATCATACTCATATATAACATGCATGACTCATAAGAATTATAAGTACTGTATTAATCCCAGTTCACTTGTAAAAATAATCACCTTCTGATATTAAGATTTCTGTCGAAAGGAAATAAATCAGATACCAAGGTAAATCTTTATGCACTGGCCATGAGCTCTGTCCAATTTAGTTAGATGAAGACAAAAAAATAGAGACTAAGTACATATACACACATGCAAATATATAATTGGACAAAACACTTACCGTTCCATCCATCAGCCAGGTCTGAAAATGTTGCCTTCCTGGAGGAGGATGCTCTATCTGTTCTCCACATTGTACAATAATCCAGTTCACCAGCCTAGACTCTAATTCCGGGTCATATTTCTGTTCAATTTTTTCCTGAACTTCTCGGCTTAAGCCATAGCTTGGTCCTCTGTTTGCCATCTCTGAAAGCAAGCAGAACTTAAGTTAGTGGACAGAGTCCTGATCTGCAGCTTTGAAATATGCACCAGAAAATTAAAGAATAAAAGAGTGAGCAGGCTGCCCTATGCGTTAGACAGTTGAACAGATGTTCATCAACACTGAAAGTAACTGTATGGCACCGGTTATAGCTGTTCTGCAGAACAGGGGAGGGATCAAGGAGGGAATATCCTTTTCCAGAAGCACAAATCAGCTACAATGCTATTTTTTTTTTTTTAAAAAAAAAAAGGGAAAAAATCAGCACTCCCCTCCCTGCCCAACCACAAAAACAGGAGAAGCAAAGCAAGACTTAAAATAGAGTGGGTTTTAAAGAGAGGCTTCTGCTATGTTTACAGAGAAAACAATAGAGTTCTCAGAACAGCGTTAAAGCTGCCTGCAAATCCAAAAGCACTTTAAAATTGCCTACCTAATACTTGCTAGTAAGAAGAAGGTTGCACATGGAAGCTCAAGCAATCCGATTAAAGATGCGGTTGGGGTCTTCCTCGGCGGAGATGGATATCCAGAGACGAGCAACCTGAAAAGCGCTGATGAATTCACGAGATGAAGGCTGCCACAATGCCCTGCTGCTGCAGCATCGTGGTCTGAAGAACAGTGTATTGATTTGATTTTCCTCACATATGAGGAGGGTCAGAGCAGGGGCGTTGCTAAGAGCCATTAAAGAGGCCTGCCTACTCAGTCACAGCCTGGGGATGCTGTTTATCTCGCCCATCTGCAGTCTGTTTTCGTGCATGTCTCCTCAGCCCAGTGCTGCTCACCCCACAGGCTCAGTTTTACTCCACCTAGTCTGAATCAACCCAAACTGCACCAAGCATCCCAGTGCCAGAGAGTGAGAAATACAAACGGAGGGACTTCTCCAGGCTTTACTCTTATTAAAGGAAGGTAACCAATAGTACTACACATCTCGCTTATTTTTATTCACAAAGCAGAAGGAAAGCCTTTTTCTCCCTGTTCCGCATCACGCTGGTAACAGGCTTAGACTGTGAAAAAATAACTTCAGCTCCAGTGCCAATAAAAAGTTTCAACAAGGGGACCACAGGATGAAAAGTCAAGGAAGATAAGGCAGGTAGTAGAATATTATTATCACTGTATCATTAGTGTATATATTAGGCTATTAAATAGTGCAACACTGTACCAAGAAAACAACTTAAACACAACTTGAAAACAACTAAAACCAAGGGAAAAGCCACTGAAAACTAGCAAATCTGCTATGAAGCACAAAGATCACCAGTGTGAGTCAGCATACCTCCAGTGATAGCAAGAGAGCTATGCCCATGTAAGGTAGCTTAAATTTTGACCATATCACTGCAGTGGTGGGAGGGGAGAGAAGGAAAGTTAAGACAGGAGACTTTTCTTTTGGTCTAATTTGTATAATTTTCCCTTTATAAAATAAAATAATTTTATTCCCCTCTAAGTTGCACCAGACTTTGTCAAATGTCTTTCACCTGTGCTGTATTATGCACTCTGCTATAAAATAGTTCCCTTTTGGCAAATGATTCATGTTCAGCTTGATACGAAAGGAGGCTGATGAACCTGAGATAGATTCAGAATAAGCTTTGCCAACAGAAGTCCTTCTGCTGCATTTAAAAAGAAAAAAAGGGGGGAAAGGAATACAGTTTTTTTCATATCTGTCAAGTAATGGTCTCTTCATCCATTACTTTCTTGACTTAAGACCATGAATTCTCTGATTTATACAGCTTTGGATGCTGCTGGGCTTGAGCAGACTCAAGAGATGAAAAATTTAATAGATGACCTAATTCATTGTTGTCCTCCACAGGCATTTCATTTTGTGCTTTCTCTTCTCTGCACTGGTAGTTTTAAAACCCTGTGAGTTATTTGGTTACATAACTCAGAGCATACGTGACAGGGCCCACCACTTGAGCACTTTCTGCCTCAGCGAACACGCTGTTGAAGGCACAGAAAACGCGCAGGAACCAAGACTGCAAGTGAAGCCCGGAGATCAGAGAAGGAGGAAACTGCAGCTGCCACAGTAAAAGGCAGCACACGAATTTGATGTCCTCCCCATTCAAGCAACTGCTACAGGCTGGGCCTTACACTCTTTGGCCAGTCCCACAAAGAACGAGGAGCTTTATTTTGCACTTAAGAGATTTTTTTGCATTCTTCTGTTTAGAAGGGAGCTGCCTACATTGCTTGGCTGTTACTGGTCACGTCAGGCTGTTCGGTACTCACTGGCAGTAAGTTTTCACGAAAACCACCTACCTTTGCATCAGCATCTCACCCTCTCTCCTAACTTGGAGGCAGGGATGGGTAATTTAATTCTCCTAAGCTGTGGAGCAGAGGTCTCCCCCTTGTCAGATGTTGGCTACGCAACCTGTTCTCGAGGGACTGTTCTATACTGTGAGAGCTGAAAAGCAAGATTGTCCATCAATTTTAATTTTTAATAGGCTTTGAAAACCAGGAAAGCTGTAGAGGATTGGAAAAATGCCCGCCTGCCTCCCCCCCTGAAAAAATTACAAAGTACAAGTAATCAAATCATAAGTCTGCTATTGTGCCATCAATCCTGAAAAAAAACAATGGAATATATATATATCTATATTTTTAAAGCTATAGTGTCCAGGCAATTTACTAAAAGCTCTCTAATACACTAGAGTTGGCCATTGCACAACATGTTTATTAGGGAACCGAACTGATTCTGAAACAATAAGACACATTAAAGAGATTAAACTTGGCTAACTAGTAGGTCTTATAATATGACTATAACTGAAAAAAACATTAATGATTGTGTATATTTTTATTCAGTTTGAATGTGTTCCCAGGTCTGAACTATTTAATATTTTATTAGAACTCACAAAAAAAAGCCCAGACTCCTGAAATGATCCCAGCTCATGCAAACTGTGACGTGTAAACAACAAAGAAAACTCCTTGAAGCCGGCAAAAACATGTCTCATTGCTGCCAAAGTCTAGCCATCATCTAGAATAGCGCTTCTCAAAATGTAGTACTCTGCTCTGTCAAAAAGCAGATGTAAAAAAACAAAATGCAGAGGGTGATAGAGGACAAGCAGGTGGGCACAGATGCTGGGTACAACACCACGGCCGAAGGGTTTGGCTGAACAAAACGTGGGAGGTGCAACTGCAATGGGAATATCACATTCAGTTCTGACAATCATTCTCCAGCAACAGTGGTGAAAGAACAAAGTAAATTCAAATAGTCACTCCAGTAATCAGAGGACTGAAAAACAGAGCCTTTATAGCGATCACTTCAGAAGGACTATCCATTTAACTCACCAAAATGTGAAGTTAAGACAGAGCAAACGTGTAGCTACAAAGCAAAGAAGAACTGAAGGACCTTGAGTTCCTTCTGTTAGACACAGAGACATGTTAAAGCCTGATGGCTAAAAACATGACATGGAAGAAAGTGGCAGGTTTCCAGTAGCAAGGGTACTACCACTAGAACACTTCACCTACTGCTTCCAATGGATTCTGTCCTCTTTACTTTTCTTGTTAGCACAAGATTGGAATGTATGACTAAAAATAGAAATGAAGCTTGAATACTTGAAGTAGGATTTCATGCGTGTAGGTGCTATTGCTTCGTTGAGCTTTCAGCTAATCAGAGTTTTAACCAATACAAATCTCTGTAAGACGATAAACAAATGCTGCCAACACAAAACTGACATTAGTTAGCTCACTATCCATGTTTAGATCCAGGGTAACTTGATAGCTTTCAGCATCTTCCAACTGGAAAACAGAGGGGAAGAGTAAAACTTACCCTGCTACAGAGCAACTCTCAATTTTTGTCAGATTTGTTTTCTGGCAATTCACTCCTTAGAAAGAGCCTGGTTATTTCAGCCACCTCAAAGCATTATCTTTCAAAGTATGTTGGGTCAATTCCCATCGGACAAAGCTATCCAGCAATTAGAATAACTGGGAAGTCCAAGCTCCGTTTCCCAGGTCTGCCGCTGTGCAATAATGAACCTTTCATAACTAAGTTAAAAAAACCCAAAAAACGCAAACAACACAAAACCTCACAACAAATAGGACATTTTCCAAAGCTTTAAAACAATTTACAGCACGTCCCTTCACAAGGAAGCTTCTGAAAAACTGCTGAAAGATGGTCCCTGTATTTACACCTGTGTTGTGATGCCACGTCTTCTAGAGTTACAGAGAGGATGCTAAAGTTCAAGACAAGGTTCAGGGCAAGTTTTTCAGGGAGCTGCAAGGCCAGGTAGGTTTTTGCAGATGCTTGCTTTTATTCATGGCCTTGCGTTCTTAACTTGTCACACCAAGGGAGAAAGAAGCTATTGGAATAATCTTTTTAACTATGCAGACTGGGTGGCAGACATCTTGGAACCAGGGAACAATGTTAATTTTAAAAATTCTAACCTCCCTGTTAATTTGAAATCTAAAATCTAGAGAACCTTAAACGACAGAGTGTGCTAAATTAAGTACCTTCTCTTCCACCAGCAGAAGGATTTCTTTCCCAGATCTGAAGATGTTAAGCTCCAAGCAAATGCATAGTTTGAACACCTCAAATTTGGGAATAAAACCAAAGTAACTGAGGAAAGGAGGACCTTCCTATTTGTGTGACAAAGGGAACGCTCCAGACTGCAGACCAAGGCAGCTCCTAAGGCTGCCATGACCAGAAGTGTCATAAGTCACTTCCCAGGCAGATTATCAGCAGAAACACTTACCACTTACAATTAGAAACCAGCTCCTGCGGATATAGCTGCCAGAATTTCCAATATTCAACATGACCCTGGAGGTAAACTGTGTATTTTAATTCTCAGGATCTTCCAAGGCTTGTGCTGGATTGACAGACTCCTTGAAAGAAAACCAACATATTTCACCATACCCATTTTTTATCTGTCCCAACAAAAAAAAATTACAAACCAAAACAACTTCTGAGAATTACCTTGGTTTGAAAATTACGCATCATAAGACACATTTACCAAAATAACAGAAAAGAAGCAACATCTTTAGGGGGCTGGTTAGCTCAGTGGTTTGAGCATGGTGCTGGCAACAAGGATCAACACCGAGGTCGCGGGTTCAATTCCCGCTCGGTCCCCATGTGTTGCCTGGTCTAGTCGAGAGGTGGTGTCCCTGCCCAAAACAGGGAGGTTGGACTAGATGATCTCTAAGGTCCCTTCCAGCCTAGGCCATTCTATGATTCTATGATTTATTAAGTCAAAACAGACAGCAAGATTTACAAACAAACAAGACCAAATCCTCCAACTAAATTAAATGCTGCTTCCTATAATTAGAGATTTAGCTTTGCCGACAGGGACTTTCCAAGAGTTACTGTCCTAAGGACTAGCACACTCAGGCCCACTTTCTGCCAGCAAACCAGACTCAATACAGAAGCAAAAAAGAGGGTTCTCCTAAGGCCCGGACTCGATCCCAGGCAGCCTGTGTCTTTCAAGGATTGCTTTTCCAGGACCAAAGTCTGGGCAGGATATTTACATCACTCCAACATTCAAGCGTGCCTCTGCTGAGCACCCCTTTGCCACGGATACAAGCACCTGCTTCCACCCCGACAGGCAGTGGTGACCTTCTCATGTTGCCACGTGGGAGGCAAGCAGACAACATGGTGGAGGTCAAAGGCCCCAAAAAGAACACAACCTTTCACGTGCTAGCCTAAAAACATTTCAAATTTGTATTTCAGTTTCAGAACCAGGTGACTCAAAGTTTTAGCAGCTGTCATTTGCTTTCCATTCCGAATATAAAGCACAGAGCTAGCCAGAGCTCCTCTCCAAACACAAAACAAGACATGGTAGCAGGCGGAGAACGTGTCTGTTCATCACCCGTGAGCAGATCAAGAGCTACAATTACTGTGCCATATGGAGGACGCCCCTTTCTCTATAATAAGAGTAGAAGCATTGAACCATATAACATACATATGTAGTGCCCGAAAGAGAAACACAAGGCCAAGCCTTTGACCAGACAGCAATAGGTCCTGTAATGAAGATTTAAGGCTGTTCTGTGCTAGGCAAATATACGTCAAAGAGAGATGAGGTCCTACAGTCACAAAGTAAAGCCGAGCTGTACAAACTGATCTATGAGCAGTAAATGTGTGAGCAATATATTTTTGTCCTTCATTTCTTTCTCTTCGTCCCAATGATTTTAAAGTTATCTCTTCCCCTAGAAAGCACCTGCCAGGAGAAAAGCAAGATGCACAGTGGCATTAAAACCATGCACATGGCAAGTTGCCTGTTTTTAAACAGAATGGTTGAGTTTTCTCTGCCTTTCCTGTCCCTGCTGGGCTTGAGAACAAGGGCAGAAGGGCAAGAATGCACAACTGCATAGTTCTCAATGCATTTCTTAGACAGTTGTTGAATTTTCACCCAAGTGAAATTCTGCATTCTCACACATCTGACTGAATTTGTACATTAGCTTAAAGCAGAGACTGCTGACCTTAAGAGACAGGTGAAACAATGTTTTAAAAAAATAAATCTGAAAGGGTAAGGTAGGCCTCTGTAACAGCACAACTACATAACTTGAAAATCAAGGAAGTTCAAATCTCATTATCCCCCAGGACCTGATTTTCCCCCACTTTTTTTTTTTTTCCCCTCCAGAGGAAGGGACAGGGACAAAGGAGAATGACAAGCACAGACCTAAGGCAGCAACCCTGACCAAGGCACTGTTTCGGAAAATGTTGTAATTCTGTATTGCAGTACAGCTAGAGCACTGAAAACATTTGAGCAGCTGCAGACACATATAGCTGGTCAAAAGTTTGTCTGCAAGCACATTTCAATTTGATATGAAAATTATGGTACCATAAATCTCTTAGCCCCACTGAATAACAGCGTGTCCACGAGAGCACATAATCAAAATTAACATACAAATGAAACAGCAGGAGGCAATTCTTTTAAGGCCTATTCAGCTAGGGGGTTTTTTTGTGAACACTGCTTTGTTTGTATTTAGCGTTGATGCAAGAGAAAATAAGCTAGCTAAACTGAAGCTACATGACACACTTAATACCATTTAACTCAAAAAAAAAAAAAAGTGCGTAATAGAAAGCCAAACAACAGAAGAGACAAAACAAGTAAAACACTCGACAAGATAAAAATGCATGCATATAAAACTGTATTAGTACAGCTCAATACACACAGAATAAGTGCACTTGTTTATTAGGAAACAAGGTAAATAAGCTTTAGGGACACATAGTGGTCTATTGCAGAGTTTAATCTCAAATACAGGAAAGCACATGTCACCATTTTCTTCCTTTTTAGAAAGCAGAATTGTTTGTTTCCCAAGTTAAGTCACTTGTAGTTTGATTTCGCAACAGACCTGAAACGAAAGCATTGGTAAGGCCTCTCAACAGTTGAGGTCAGCTGGTAATGCTTTTGTTTCTTTTTAATGAAAACTGTTACCTGCTTTTTTGGTATTATACGATAATCAAGCTCCCTGCCTAGCTATAAAAGCGTTTTGTTATTTATTCATGAAACTTGAATGACTGTAACTCCTCAGCAGGACTTTATGTTGTGTAATTTAAGCATTACATACAAGATAAATACCTCGAGGTGCTTATTCAGCTAGTATTGTCTGATCACGATCAAACCCACAAGTGCCCGAGCTGCTCGGTTGGTACCCAGAGTCCCCTTGTCCTGCAACAGCAACATCACCTCCGACACGTCCACGTTACACTCAGTGATAGGTGAGTCCAGAAGTCATCGTCAGACCTGCCAAGAGTAAAAGGCAAGGAGAACACTAACAACTAAGCTAAGACTGCTACTGAAAATAATTAAGTGTAGATTAAGGTATTCAGAGAAGACCAACTCCCTGAGGCAGCACAAGACAGAGTTGGCAAATGTGAAAGCGTAAGACACTGATAATTTCCTGCAAATCAAGCTCATTGTTGAAATGTATCTTAAACATTCACAAAACGTACTTCATATTTGGCAGCAAATTATAAGTCTGTAAAAGAAGAAAAAGAAACACAAACCCAGAACACAGAAATTCATTACAAAGGATTTTAAAAAACTTGCACCACACAAACCTTTCCAAATATATAATACCCTAATTTAGTACGGTATTTCTACAGAGGAAATACTTGTTTTTAAGCATGGCTAATATCAAAAATAATTTGTTATCTTGGCATTCGCTGGCAAAGATGAAAGAGATGCCACAGGCATTAACTCAGGGGACAAAACGCGGTACTTAATAATATCAGAATGACACCATAATATGTGAATATTACATTACTTGGGACCATCAAAACTTCCTGATAGGCCAAGAGCTAGTCACAGGCAGGATAAAAACCTCCCTGGTTATCATCTATCCTTTCTTTCAGGTATCTGAACATGTCAAGCTGATGGTAATCAAAACGCTGGTAACTTCCAGCATGAACACAAGGAAAATGCTATACTTGCAAGGAGAAATACCAATAGAACTACCATGGCAAAGTCAGAGAAAAAAGCCTGTCTGTGTAAGGTCTACCTCAAAGCCCCCTCTTCTGATTTAAGGAATCTAAACTGAACGTAGAAAATAGTAAGCAAACAGAGAAGGGCACTAGCATTCACACAATCTCTAAATATTATCTGAAATAATATCTCTATGAAGAAACTATCATCTCTGCCTTTGCATTTATGCTCAACGTAGCAAATCTGGAGTGTATCTGTAGTGTAAATGCTACCAGCAAACTCTATTTAGCAAGCAGAGAAAGAAAACAGAACAACAAAACAAGTGGCACTCAGAAAAAAAAGAAAGAAAAAAACCCTCCAAACCAACCTCCCTAGTATTACGTTTCAGTAATGCTGTGGTTTGAGCAACTGATGCTGCACATCTGTATCCTTAACAATTGTGTCAACCCTGTGATACTGACTTCTCCCACTTAATGTTATTACAGCAAAAAAATGGGGGAAAAAAACACCACCAAAAACATCACCACCAAACAAGAAAAAAACCAAAACATCAACCCTTACAACTACTTACACAACTGTCCCTCTTCACATTTGTTTTCAGCTAGCTTGCTCTAAGGCATCATAACAGAAACACCTTACCCATAACACATCAATTATTTAATAAAGGTGAAGGTAAAGCTTTGAATGAAATGCAATTCTTTCAAGAGAAATACGCAGCTACAGTTTATGCAGTCACTGTATTGATTCAGTTTCAGTTTACACCAAGATTATATATTGTTCCCTTAATAGCTGACCTACAAATTAACTATTACAAAAACACAGCCTGAAGAAGAGGACATAAACCCTACTAGTAAGCATAGATAATGCACTTTGAGGCCCTGCATTCTTAGAAGTTAAATTCTTCCTTATGTAGTACTCCAAGCACACCATCAGGGTGTGCCTTCCACTTTTCAATTTTAACAGTACTTAAGAATAATATAATGATTTATCTGAAATTTGTTTATTATGCTTCATGTAATTCACTATTCCCAATACTAACAGCTAAAGCACAGATGGTTTCAGACACAGGATACAATAATGTTGCAGCAAAAGGACAACAGTGAAAAGGTGTCGAAGACATGGGAAATTAAAGTTTTATTGTATACTGACAGTAACTAATAGGAATCAGCATTTCAGTACTGAAGTGTAGGAAGCCTGGGGAAAGAAAGCTTAAGTGGTGAAGGAGAGGTTCTGAACACAACAGCAGCACTCCTTCATATTTTGGACTGTGCAAATACAGCATTACTAAAATACTTGTATTTACAAAACAGAGTTAAGGAAACAGTAGATAACTAGGTAACAGTCACAGGCCTGGCATCATCCGGTTAAGGACAAGGTTTCTGCTACTCATGGAAAAGAGTCACGTGTAGAGTTCATGCTCTAATGCTACTCTGCAGTTTACGCTAGTGTTGCCAGCTTGTCAATTAAATCATCAACAGTATTCACGAGAAGTTTTGTATCCTCCTTCTCGCTCATCCGATGCTGGCCAACTTTGCGGAGGATAACATCCACATCTTTGCTCAAAACACGATCAGCGACTTGCAGAGAGATCTGCCAAGGGACATCACCATCCTTCATGCCATGGATAAGTCGCATGGGACACGTTATAGGAATAGGACTATTCAGCACACAGTGATTTTCCGCTTCTCTGATAAAGTCGTATGTCAAGGAGTAATATCCTTCGTCATTATGCTTTGTTGGAAACTTCCATTCACCTTTTTCTTCTATTTCTTTTTGCGCCTATAAAAGAAAAAGAGAGCAAAGAATAGACAAGACAGATGTTACAAGTTCTTCAGAGTGCCTCAACTTGTTTCTGTTCTAAATACAGTAAATCCTCCCCATGCATAACACTTCACTTTTTTCATTTTTATTAGCAGAGAAGGTATATTCCTGTTCATCTTCCAGCACCTGAGAAGACCAATCTCCTACTACCGTCTCACAAAAGTTACTCTACACATCTTCCCTGCAAACTAATCTGGTTAGTATTCACCAAAGAAATTTAGTTTCTCAGTCAGAATCTATCAGAGAGAAAAAGATGTATAGACACAATGAACAGTAAGTCTTTCTGGATTCAGACAGGGAGAATTTTTAAAAAAGGAATTTTCCAGCAATCAGTCTTTTCAGTCTTTGCCGTAACAGTTGTGTCTAAACACTGTATTTCCAGAATCTTACCTTAGTCGTAAGTAGTAATACTAACCCTATGAAGTGCCTTAGAGAAAAAATAATCAGGAAAATATTTTAATCATCCTAAAGTATGAGTTCTTTATTGCCATATTTGTCAAATCGTAACACCTGGTTTACTTTCCTGAAGACTAGACATTACCATCATCAAGTAAGCAACTTGGAAAGAGACCTCCCACCACCTTAATTTTACAGTCTCTACAAATACACTTATCTGAAGAATTCCTTTTCTACACACACAACCTGTGTCAGGCTCATCTCACCCAATGTCACCTCAGTTACTTCAGCAGCTACTTCTCCCCCTTTGAAAGCACAATGATACAATTTGAATGCAAATATAAGGTATTCAATGCTGAAATCTAATTGACTGCTTGAACAACAGGGATCTGACATCATAACCTTTATGCCACAGTAACAATATAAAAGTATTCTAGGTAGCGCTCGCACTAGTTTCACATGAGAAGCACAGTATTTCACGGACTGCAAGATTAATCTAAATATTCAGCTTACCTCCACCACAAACACAAAAACCTTACCAGAAGACTTGCAGGAAAAGCACAATTTGAGCAACAGATTTTAATAAAAACTTGACAGATTTTGAGATTGCAAAAAGCCAACCACCAACATTTACCTCAATGGGAAGCTTCTTAAAAGTTGTTACAAGATAGTCTGCTGCCACAGCTACTCCAACTAGAGCAGCTACTTTATCTGGACGTGCTATCGCAGCATGAAGCATCAGCCACCCACCCAAGCTGGAGCCAACCAGAATCTGAAAAAAGGAAAAAGAAGATATTGTTTTCCAGGAAACAGCTACACGTTTTTTCTTCTTTTACAAAGTATCAATTTGTATTTTGTTCAACAACTTAAACCTTGGGCATAATCCTGCTGTCCTTACCCAGGCAGAACTGCTGTCACCTCCAGTGGAAATTTTGCCTGAGTAAGCACCACAGAATCTGGTATTTTATTATTCTTTTTGTTTGGCATGGCTGGTTATTGCTGTCTGAGACTGAAACACTGTAAACAAAATGAGAGTTGAAACAATTCAGTATCACATGTGTATTTCATGTTTCCTTCTTAAAATAAATGCACATGGTAAAGGCTTAGTACAGCAAAAGAGGTCACCAAAACAAACTCAAAATACAAAATTGATTTAAATACAATACCAGGTATTTCCCAGCTGCAGGAAATTTCAGGTTTCTCACAGTCATTCCTAAGGTAACTGAAAAAAATCAAATGCTACTTCTGGGTTGGTTCTTTGGCTTTGTTTTCTTCTTTTTTTTTAAGCTATTTTATCATATAGACTATCTTAATTCATTACATTTCTGCAAATTCTTTAATTAATGCATCAGCATGGGACAGTGACACACATTTTCATGAAGAGGGCTGTGCTGCACTGAAACAGTTCACAGTCCCCTGTCAGGTGGAAGATCCACCATGAGGATTTCTCAGACCCCCTGGGACAACAGCCCTGCTCTGCGCAGGATGTTCTAGTCAATAACCTCCAGGAGGTCCTGCCAAGCCATGTTTCCATGACTTTGTGATCTACCTGCCTGCAAAAGAGGTCTTAAAAACATGACCTCTCAAATGAAAGTGAGCAGGTGTCACCTGTTAAATAGAAGCTACTGTTGCCCAGACCTATTATGGCATATTTTTCTTTAGTATTCTATCCTGAGGATAAAAAACATTCTATATTTTAAAATAAAATACAACCTGTGGTCCATCTGTAAGTTCATCCAGTATAGACAGAACGTCTTTTCTCCACTTCCCAATTGTACACTCCTCAAATTTACCATCTGAACTTCCACATCCTGTGTAATCAAATCTGAAAAAGTAACCAGCAAAATGAAAGTCATACAGCAACGTAGAAGCTAACTAAACAGTACCATTTAATCAAATTAAATGGGACAAGATATCGTAATGAATATTTTCTTACTTGGTCCTGTATATCACTAGCATCAGAAATCACATGAAAAGAGGTTTAAACACAATTAAATTATGCAGCCTCCTCTTACCATTTGATATTACAATACTCAAATTTATCAGAAGTCACAGAATCATTAAGGTTGGAAAAGACCACAAAGATCATCAAGCCCAATCATCAACCCAACACTACTATGACCATTAAATTACATCCTGAAACACCATGTCTATATGTCTTTTGAACACCTCCAGAGATGGCAATTCCACCATTCCCCCAGGCAGCCCGTTCAATGCCTCACCACTCTTCCTAATATCCAACCTGAACATTCCCTGGCACAACTTAAGGCCATTTCCCCTTGTTCTGTCACTTGCCACTAGAGAGAACAGACCAATTCCCGTCTCACTACAACCTCCTTTCAGGTCGCTGTAGAGAGCGATAAGGTCTCCCCTCAATCTCCTCTTCTCCAGGCTAAACAGCCCCAGATCCCTCAGCCGTTTCTCATAGGACATATGTTCCAAATCCTTCACCAGCTTGGTAGCCCAACTCTGTACCCTCTCCAGCACCTCAATGTCCCTCTTGTAGCGAGGGTCCCAAAACTGGACACAGCACTCGAGGTGAGGCCTCACCAAAGCCGAGTACAGGGGCATGATCACCTGCCTGCTCCTGCTGACAGCACCATTCCTGATCCAGGCCAGGATGCCATTGGCCTTCTTGACCACCTGGGCACACTGCTGGCTCATGTTCAGCCGGCTGTCCACTCCTCGCTGGGTGGCTCTCCCGCCTCGCCTCCCCAAGCCTGTAGCGCTGATGGGGGTTTTTGTGAACTAAGGGCAGGACTCGGCACTTGGCCTTGTTGAACCTCATACAGCTGGCCTTGGCCATCGATCCAGCCTGTCCAGGTCCCTCTGCAGAGTCTCCTCACCCTTGAGCAGATCACTCTCACACAGCCTGGTGTTGTCTGCAAAATTACTGAGGGTCCACTCAATCCCCTCATCCAGATCATATCCCTCAGATATTCCCCAGACCTAAAATTTCCATTACAGACAAAAAAACCCAAAACACTTAAATTGTAAAGGTATTTCTAAAACATATAAACTCTCTTTAAAACGCTACACCCAAATATGAAGACATATAAAGTTCATAATTCAAACTAGTCTATCAAAGGCGAGTACCACCAAGCACGTGCATGTTGTTCAAAAACCACAGAAGACACTGGGTTACTTAATGAGATTTGGCATTTAAGAAGTATGCTTACAGCAGCAACTTAAAAAAACTAGAACTCCAGGTCCTTTGTTTCTCATTTTTGTGCCTTTCAGAATACATTCTCTTTATTTACTTCAGTCTCACTACAGACAGAAATCCTACATATGAAATAGAAGACACTTCTTTGCTTGTGTACAGCACAGCACACTTTCCAATCCAAATGCCAGTTTACACACTTTTTTTAAACCCCTTTCCCCCCCTCCATGACATTTGTTTGATTTTCTCAAGAACAATTCTCTGAATGTACCTGATGAAGGCATGACCTAAAGAGCTGCAGAAATCTTCAAGAGCAGTTGCTTTCTGGCCATTCATATTTGAGTTAAAGCCTGGAAGGAAAATAACCCCTGGACTCCTGCCTTTTAGTTTATGATAAGCAAGATTTGGTCGATCTGGTCGAGTAAGAAAGCTGATCGATGATTTCAGCCTGCAAACTAACAAAAAGAGCTATTTAGCACAATCATCATGATAACCTTGACAGATATAAACCTACATTCTCTGTAAGTACAGAGCAATACATTACATATATCACATAAGAAGTAACAGAGTTGACCACTGTAGACCTATGATTTTCATATGCATCTCCAAGAGGCCCAGATATCCCACTACATGATTTGGTGTATTCTTGCTGGAGAGGTTACATTATTCCAGCATTCAGATTGTTCTGTTTATCCAGAAAGAAACTGCACCTTCCAAACCTAACTATTTTGTGAATATTTTAAAAAATGAAAGATGGTTTAGCGTAACTTCTGTCAAAGTGACCTGCAACATATTACATGAGAGAGAAGTTTTCCTATCAGCATAAACCTATGATTTTGTTTCTTTCAGTTCAAGATGTCAGACTAGAAACATTTGGACAGCAAGCACTATTAGTCGCATTAATAACCATCAAAAAATTGACTTAGTTTCAAACAAGGAAAAGATATTTAAAAAGGCAAAGCCAACTCACTAATATCTATGCTGAATCTCAACAATATTTAATACAAGTTTAGCAGTCAATGGTACCTCTACTGTGGGTGAGGGCAAGTGTTTCATAGAGAGGTGTTATGGGGACTTAATCCACTCTATCATCCTGCTCAGCAAGGGAAGCCTGGTCAAGACTTCAAAGACTTTGATACTCTTAATTCTTAGATTAGAAGACAAGTAGTTTTTCAATATTGTGACTCAACAGCAGGGTACAAAGCCCATGCAACCCAATATAATACATCAGGGCTTCCTAGTGGTGTAACAACCTGCATAAACACCGCAAAATCAGGCCGCAACAGTATTACACCACTTAACTGTTCTGCAGCTTTGAGTTGCTTTCTCTCGATCAGAGAGGCTACATTCAAGTGGTTTTATGGGTTTTGTTTGTTTCCAAACTTGCCTGTGCATGAGTAAAGGTGGATGCAGGGCAGATGCAGAATGCAGCTAGCATTCAGCACTTTCCCACAGTCTAACACAAATCATACCGTTTGAATTATTGATTGACAGCATTAAGTCTTTCCTGAAACAATGGGACAGTTCTTTATTCTACTGATGCATTGATTACTATAAAAGGGAAAAAATGCCATAGCAAAGCTAAATTTAATCAGATGCATCTATGCTGTAGCTTTTGGTTTGTGTGTGTCTCTATTAGTTAGCCAGTCACTTCTTCACCTGCCAGGAACAGAGGAGTTATACCAAGAAGTGCTAAACTTCATAGAAAGAGGGGGAGTATTTTTCTCCCCCTTAAGCCCGGATAACCATCTCTGAAGTCACTGGTTTTCCATCCTGCAGCATTCTGGATGTGCCCTCAAACTGTTTTGACACTGGGTAGGGTTTAAACTGCAACTACAAGACACAACCCCTGACTAAACTACTGGAGTAGCAGTATTTTGCATTAGTATTCTGCATTTGACAAATGCACCAGCAGCAATCCTAACCTGAATAACGCAAAACCCTAAAGTAACCACACCACCCATTCCAAAAGCAAGGCTCACTGGAGTCCCACTCTCAGACTTCCCTTTAGACAGACAAACACATCAATAACTGAGCAGCTACCCTGTAATTTCTGCTCCTGATTTCAGTGGAAGCCCTTGGTAAGAGCAGGGAGATGGGCACCAGTTCTGTCACCACCAGCTCAGAGCACCCACCGGCACACTGAGTAACCCACTACTCCGATCACACTATTTAGAGTACTAAATATACAATGAAGAAAAAAAAAGTATCAGCAACAAACCACCGTATCCGTCTTTTTCTGCGTGCCCTTAGTGGCCAGTAAGTTTTACTCACTCCTACACCGAGCAACCTCGGCTGAGCATCGTTACCTCAACACGAAGGGCAGCTCTCTGTCAAACCCGGGACAACCAATCACAGAATTGTATCAGCTGGAAGAGACCTAGATGATCACTGAGCCCAGCCTTTGTCCCAGCCCTATCAACCGGCTAAACGATTTCTCCCAACGCAACATCCACCCGTCTCTTAAACACCTCCAGGGACGGTGACTCAACCCTTCCCTGGGCAAAGCTCTACATGCCGGACAAGCGCCGAGGCTGGCGCAGCCCGCAGGGGCACTACGTGTTTTGGGCGGAGCATCACCTCACGCAAAAGCGGCGGATACCAGCCGTGCTTTTCACGTTTCCC